ACCCTGGGTGACCTCTTTATAGCAGGCCCCCACCCCAGCAGAAGCAGAGGCTGCTGAGCTAGGCCTCCTAGGGGAAGTGGCAAAAGCAAAGAGGGAGGGAAGTGGGGGTGATGTTTGGAGAGAGGAAGTGCCAGGATCTCTGTGGGGCAGAGACAGACTGGGGTGTCCAGTGCCCCCACAGAACCTTGGCAAGGTCCAGTGGGCAAGCATGTGGCTGGCCTATAGGATGCGTGTGAGAGTGTGTGCTGGTCCAACCCTGACACCCAGGCCTGAGAGACAGGAGGAGCCCTCTGCCTGCTTCTGTGCCCAGCCCTGGATGCAAACGTCTATGTGGGACCTATCTGTGTAGAGGTCTATTCTGCTGTGTGTGTGTGTGAACTCTATGGGATGGGTTGCACGTAGCCTAGATGTATGTAAGTGTAGATTGCTTCAGAGTTCCTATGGCTAACCTGTATCCGTGTGTATGTGTGTGTGTGTGGTCTGTGGCTGGTCTGTATGTGTGTACACAATCTGTAGTGTGTGTGTGTGAGTGTGTAAAAGAGGTCTGTGGCTGGTCTGTATATATGTGTGTATATGACCTGTAACTGGTGTGTATGTGTGTGTGTGTCTGTGAAAAAGACGTCTATGGCTGGTATGTGTGTATACGATCTGTAATGTGCGTGTGTGTGTGTGTGTGTGTGAAAAAGAGGTCTGTGGTTGGTTTGTGTTTGGTTGGTGCGTGTGTGGTCTCTGTGTGTGAGGTCTGTGGCTTGTTTCCATGTGTGTGTTCCATGGCTGATCTGTATCTTGTCTGTTACTGATCTCCATGTGTATGCGTGCGCATGTGTGTGTGCAAGCAGGTTTTGTCAGGGTCTCTCTGTGCCGATGTGTTTATGAATGTCCCACTGTGGCCTGTCTGTGCCTCTCTGCACTGGGTGTGACTGTCTGGCCAGACCATGTCTGTGAATGTGTCAGTCTGTCTGCCCAAATCTGCCCAATCTGTTGCCAGGTTCCACATGTGTGTGTTCCTGGTGAGATGGTGTGTACCTCTAAGGCTTTGGCTTGGTGTCCCTAGGAGCATCTCTGATGTGTGTGCAACGGTAGTGGGCCAGGGTGCCAGGGACTCTCTGCCATACTATGAACACATCTTCTCTGTCCCTAGGTTTGTTTGTCTCTCGTCTTGTCTCTGTCTTCTGAGTTGGGGATCTGGTGTGTGTGTGTGTGTGTGTTGCCTTCTCTTGCGTGTCAGAATCTGACAGTGCATGCCTGTGTCTGTATTCTTCTCTCGTGTGGCTCTCGGGGTGCTGCTGCCAAAGGTGATTGTCTCTCCTATCAGCATGCACATGTTGCCTGCTTATCTCACATATACTTCACTCTGTGTCTGTCTTGCCCCTGTGTTTCTAGCCTGTCATGTTTGTTTGCATGTGTGTCACACACCATTGTGTCTGCCTTGCTGTGTGCCTCTCACCTGAATGTCAGTCTCTGTGTGTCAATCACGCTTATGTGCTGGATTGATTTATCCCCACCACACATGGCCTGCCTGCATATTTTTGACCTGTGGATGCGTTCACGTGTTTGACGGTGTGCATCTCTTGCTTGAGGGTCTCGTCTGTCACTGTGTCCGTGTGTGACAGTCATTGCTGGATCATCTTGCCCAGCTGTATGTCTGACCCTGTCTGTGTGTCCCTGGCTGGCAGTCTCTCTGTGGCCAAGGTGACAGGGGTTTGTGTGTCTGGACTGGCTCTCCTGGGGTGACTGTGTCTGTGTACATTCCTACAGCCCCCCACCCGCCCCCTGTCTGGTAACCCTGGGCCATGTTTACTCTGCCCCCAGTCGATGTCTGCCCTGCCCCGGGAGGGGCTGACCCTCCTCCGTCTGTCCAGCCAGCAGTCCACAGGATGTTCCCGAGACACAGTCTCCATCCGACGTCCCCTCCCTCGGGCCACCCGCGGGTCAGGACCCAGGCGTCCAGGGCGGCGGGGGTGGGGCTGCAGCGTGGGGGGGCCCTGTCAGGGCACTGGAATGAGGGTGGGGGGCGGGGAGGTGACGGGCCCAACAGGTTGTGCCTCATTCCTGCCCCGCCTCTCACTTCCTGGGTGCCTGCCTCGGGCAGGGGGTGGACAAGATGAACCCCATGGCCTTAGAGTGCCTGGGTGGGGCATGGCCTGCCCGGCAAGGACTCGCTTCTGCTGGGCACCCTGACACCCAGACCTGAGAAACAGGAGGAGCCCTCTCCTGGCTCCCGTGCCCAACCCTGGATGCAGAGTGTCCCATCTATTATTCACCTAATCCCCACAACAACCCAATAAGCTGGACATAATGATCCCTCATTTTCAGATGGGGAAACTGAGGTCCAGGCAGCAATGAGAGCAGAGACAGGATTTGAACCCAGCTCTATATGCTACCCAAGACCCCCAGCCAGCTCACCAAGCGCCTTCCTCCCCTTTCTAAAATGGTACATGTGGGGTAGAGTATGCACCCAGGCCCCCAGGAGGCCAGGCTCGAGGGGGGCGCCGCTTGCTCTGAGTCAAAATGGGCCCCTGGATGAAATGAATAAGAAAACGGCTTTAACCGTTTCATCGCCGCGACGGGCTCTGCCAAAACTTCCTGTGGGCTGGGAGGAGGGGTTGGGGGCTGGGTTCCCGGAGGTTTGCAGGGGTGGGGGTGGGGGGTCTACCTATTCAGAGGCGGGGTGAGGGGGGAGCGCCTCTGGCCTGCTAAGGGGAGTAGCTGTCACTTGGATGCTCGCTGGTGCGGGAGGCCTTCCCCGCGGAGGGTGAAGTCCCCAGAACTTGGTTCTTGGCCTCACTGTCTGGAGGGGTCCCAGACTCCGCAGCCCCCTCCCCAGGGGCCTGAGTCACACACGGGGAAAGCCAGGAGGGGTGAGTCATGGGGGCGGAGAAGCCGGAGCGAGGCCAGCTGCGGCCAGGGGACCCCCGGGCTGGCCTGAGTCACGCACGCCCGGGCCACGCTGACCCCAGCCCCCTTCTCCCGGGATCACGAGCGGGAAGCGAATTGTCGGTAGACTAGGCAGCTGGAGGAAAAGCAGGATGGCTGGGCGGGGAGAGGAAACACGCGCCTGGCTGCGCGGGAAGCTCTGGTTCCCATGGCAACGGGGGGGGTCTCAGCTCCATGGGAAGGGTCCCTCCCCCAACAGGGACTGCCCTCCCGTCGGGCGCTGGGGAAGCCCCCGCGCCCTTGGTCGAGGGGCCAGAAGTTTCGGATCGGGCAGGAAGGGGTTAACGGCGGCCCCCTCCCGAGTTTCACCGGCGCCCCACAGTCCCTGCCGGGGCGGGGCTGGTCCTGCCCCGCGCGCCTCCGCTCGCCCAGCCCACGCCACCGCCCACGCACGCGCGCACGCAGCCAGTGCAGCGCTCCCGCCCTCCCCCCTCCCCGTGCTCGCACGCACGACCGCGTCGGGTTCCACGCACGCAGCGACCCCCGTCGTGTCTCACGTCACGCACGACGCACGCGCCCCCGCAACGCGGGGAGGGCGCCCTCCCTGAGGATAACGGCGCGGGCGGGAGGCGCCCTGCGCACATCACTGCGTCCGCACAGCCTGCTGTCCTTTGTGACTTTGACTCCCACTTCCCGCCCCCTACACACAAGGTCACAAACAAACTCCCCGACCCACAGTGTCACACGGACGCAGGATACACCTGCCACATCTTGGCACCAACCCTCTCTAGTCCAGCCAGCCTCACAGCGAACACGGACACACGTGGATGGAGACGCAGACAATCACGCAGGCACGTCAGTCACATAGCGTTTGTGATAGGGACGCAAACAGAGCCATATTCATACACAAGCAGGTGGCAGATACATCCTGGTAAAGCAACCCCATCCAGCAAAGTAGGACGGGCGCAGTGGCTCAGGCCTGTAATCTCAGCATTTTGGAAGGCCAAGGCCAGAGGATTGCTTGAGGCCAGGAGTTCAAGAACAGCCTGGGCAACATAGCAAGACCCCTGTCTCCACAAAAAGATTTTTTCTTAATTAACTGGGCATGGTGGTGCATGCCTATAGTCGTGTCTATAGTCCCAAGTATGTGGGGGTTGAGGTAAGAGGATCACTTGAGGCCAGGAATTCAACTCTGCACTGAGCCATGATTGTGCCACTGCACTCCAGCCTGGGCAACAGAGGAGACCCTGTCTCAAAAACAAAGAAAAACAGGAACAGGGAGGGACACAGTCTTGGACACCAGGGCTTGGTTTGTCACACAGCCACACCTCTTCCATGGAGATTGTGGTGGTACAGAGATACATATAGACACATAGGGTGGTCATGCCATCACGTGACCCCTGTTATCACAAGTAGGGGGCACCAAATGGGATACAGTCACAGAGACAAGGCCACGTACAGGGACACTCAGAATATCAAGTGGACATGGACAAACCAAGGACACTCATGACAGGGTCACACAATCTCAGACTACGAAGACAAAAGTAGGACATGGTCACAGACACACAAGGTAAAGCTATATTGAGGCACTGATTGTCTTACTTTGATTGTCTTATTTTCATGACCTCACTTCTCACACAAAGAATGACACAGATATAGACCCAAAGTGAGGTCCCATATAGACGTATATAGTAGACACAGACACACAACACATGAAGATGCAATTGGAGTGAGAGAGCCCTACCCAAACTCTGCCTGGACCATACAGAGATACACAGGGGCACACACTAGAGGTTCCCTAGTCACCCTAAAATCTGGATGGGTTTTTCTGGTTGTTGTTGTTTTTGAGACGGAGTCTTGCTTTGTCACCCAGGCTAGAGTGTAATGGTGCGATCTCAGCTAACTGCAACCTCCACCTCCCAGGTTCAAGCGATTCTCTTGCCTCAGCCTCCCGAGTAGCTGGGATTACAGGCACTCACCACCATGCCTGGCTGATTATTGTATTATTAGTAGAGACAGGGTTTCACTATGTTGGCCAAGCTAGTTTTGAACTCCTGATCTCAAGTGATCTGCCTGCCTTGGCCTCCCAAAGTGCTGGGATTACTGCCGTGAGCCAACAAGCCGGGCCCCAACCTGGATGTTACAGACAAGGATGTTACAAATTTCCCCTCCCCCAGTCCCTGAAAGCAAATCCCCGCCCCTCCACATCAAATCAGGCACAGCCTGTTGCACAAACTCCAAGGCCTTATGACACAATGGATGCAGGACACATGCCTGTGTACACACAGTCACAGATCCTCCATCTCACACCTACAAAGACCAGCACATCTGGCCGGGCGCAGTGGCTCACACCTGAAATCCCAACACTTTAGGAGGCAGAGGCAGAGGGATTATTTGAAGTCAGGAGGTCGAGACCATCCTGGGCAACATAGCAAAACCCTTTCTCTCCAAAACAACAAACAAACAAACAAAAAACCCAGCACATTTCACATGGACTCAGGCGCAGACAGACACAGGGAGGGGGGACTAGCTAGGAGTTCCTGGCAGGATGTCAATATCTGGGCTGTAGGGGTCCTGCCAGAGTCCTCCATGGTAATGATGCATGGAGTCCACCCAGTGGCTGTGGTCAGCCAGGGGAGTGCCAGAGGGGCACTGTTCTCCAGTTGTGGGACTGAGGGTCCCCTTCTCAGCCCTGATGAAGACTGGGTCCCTGCCCAGATGTGAAGGCTGGAGGGGGCAGGCCGGGGTCCAGCTGTGGCCACAGGGAGGGGTTGAGTCAGCCACTTCCCAGCAGTACAACCCAGGCTGGGCCCAGCTGTTCCTGGAAACCAGTAGGAGGGGGTGGGCTTCCCAATCCAGCTGGGGGCTGCTGGCCCAGACCTGCACACCAGGGTTCTATGTCCCTACAAATGGCGGCCTTCAGACCATCCCCTAAAACGTTGGGGGCTCTCTTTACCTAAAACGGGTTTGGATCCTTCTTCCAAAATATGGAAGGTTTTCAGCCCTTCTTGCTGAACTAAAGGTGCCTGGATCTCTGCACAGCAGGGTCCCTGTGTTTCAAAACAGAGATTGCTGCTCTCTTCCCTGCTGACATAGAAGCTCACTGCTTTTCCCCAAATGCCGCCCCAAAATGGAGGGTTGTGCTCCTCCCCCAAATTGAGCACACCCAGACTTTTCCTTAAGTCTGGGGACTCCTGGCTCCCGGAACATCTGGGACGCCCACAACATCACGCCAACATTAGGACAATTTAAGTCAATTTCCCTAAATATTTGGATTTCCAGATTTCTCCTGAACATCAAAATCCCTGCGACCCCCGCCCTAATGTGGTGATCTCAGCATGTCCAGTCACCCATGCTTGTAACAGCTGTGGTTCCTGGCTCACCTCCAACTGCTACCTGGGAACGGGGTGGCCCTGTTTCCCTGTATTGGCAGCACCCTCGCCTCTGGTGAATGCGAGGTGGGGGAGCCAACAGCAGCTGTTCCCACGACCGCCGGAAGACAGCCCAGTCCGGAAACCAGCGCTGCCGGCCCTTGTCCCCATCCCCCACTATCCTCTCCACCCGCTCCCAGGGGCTGGAGTCTGGAAAACCACGCGGGAGGAGGTTGTGGGGACGTGGACGAGCATCCGAGGTCCCCGGGTGCGTACGGCTGCGCATGAGTAGGCTGTAATCGGGTGTCTGGGGGTGAGTGACTACGTTCGTAAGATGCGCGCGGGGAGCAGCTGTCACTTTGCCCACCCTGCTCCGGGGCAAGGTAGCTGGCGCCAGGATCTTCTGGGTGGATGGGAGCAGCGCCCCTCCCCTCCCATCTGGGCCCGCCCCCAATGCAGAGCCCGCCCCTCCCTCCGGGTACAGCTAATAACCTCCAATTAGTGCACGTTACGCCTCCCGCCTATGGGGGAGGGGTTGCCCAGGGACCCTGGGGTCATAGGGCGCGAGCCTGGGCTTCACGCTTCCCCTCAAAACCGGGTCCACTCGGAACCTCTGTTTTCTCGCCGGCAAAACAAGGATTTAAAACAGCACTTGCCATCTAGTAGTCTACGTATTTAAATCGCTTAGCGCAGGGACTGCATACAGTAAGCACTCCATACATGGTGACTGCAATTTTATTGTTAACTATAATTGCCATCACTTTCCATTGAGCCCCCTCCACCGCCCCAGCGGGGGTCTCAAGGCGGGCACAGTCTTCCCCCTAGGCCTAGTTCTGCGGTCTCCGCGCCCCCTGGTGGGCGCGGGCGTCGCGGCAGCTTCAGCCAAATCCTGGGTTCTGAGGTGCGGGGGGATGCCGAGCGCGCATCTGGGGAGGGGAAGGCGTGGGGGGAATATCGTGGAAGATGGATCCAGGCTGGGCAAGGGTGCCTGTCCATCAGCCAGGATATGTGTTTAGCTGACCTTTCCTCGACCTAGGACCATACCCGTGTTCCCTCATCTACTCCTGGGGTCAATGATGCGGGGAGGATCCCTTCATTTATTTATTTATTGAGACAGAGTCTCCCCTCCTGACGTCCAGGCTGGAGTGCAGTGGCGCGACCACGGCTCACTGCAGCGTTGACCTCCCGGGCTCAAGCGATCCTCCCACCCCAGCCTCTGGAGTAGCTGGGAATAGGCGCATGCCACCACGCCCAGCTACATTTATTTTTTATTTTATTTTTGTAGAGACGGAGTCTCGCTGTGTTGCCAGGGCTATTCTCAAACTCCTGGATTCAAGCAGTCCTCCCTCCTCGACCTCCCAAAGTGCTGGGATTACAGATGTGAACCATCGCGCCAGGCCTTTTTTTTTTTTTTTTTGAGACGAAGTCTCGCTCTGTCACCCAGGCTGGAGTGCAGTGGCGCGATCTCGGCTCACTGCAAGCTCCGCCCCCCGGGTTCGAGCTCTTCTCCTGCCTCAGCCTCCCGAGTAGCTGGGACTACAGGTGTCACCACGCCCGGCTAATTTTTGTATTTTTAGTAGAGACGGGGTTACACCGTGTTAGCCAGGATGGTCTGGATCTCCTGACCTCGTGATCTGCCCGCCTCGGCCTCCTAAAGTGCTGGGATTACAGGCGTGAGCCACCGCGCCTGGTCCTATTTTTAAACTTTTATCTTTTTTTATTTTTATTTTTTTTTGAGACAGGGTCTTGCTCTGTCACCCAGACTGGAGTGCAGTGGCTCTATCACGGCTTACAGCAGTCTCGACCTCCTGGGCTCAAGCCATCCTCCCACCTCAACCTTTGTAGAGCTAGGACGACAGAAACACGCCAACATGCCTGGGTAATTTTTTTTTTTTTTTTTTTTTGAGAAGGAGTCTTGCACTGTTGCCCCACTGGAGTGCAGTGGCACGATCTTGGCTGACTGCAACATCCGCCTCCTGGGTTCAAGCGATTCTCCTGCCTCAGCCTCCGGAGTAGCTGAGATTACAGGCGTGCGCCACCACGCCCAGTCAATTTTTGGTATTTTTAATAGAGACGGGGGTTTTACCACATTGGCCAGGCTGGTCTCGAACTCCTGACCTCGTGATCCGCCCGCCTCTGCCTCCCAAAGTGCTGGGATTACAGGCGTGAACCACCGCTACCTGGCTAATTTTTAAATGTTTTGAAGAGAGGCTGGTCTCGAACTTCTGGCCAAACTAATTATCTCTCCTAGGCCTCCCAAAGTACTGGGATTACAGTCGAGAGCCACGGCGTCTGGCCGGAAAACCCCTTTAGCATCCCCTCTCCGAGTCCATAGAAAATGCCAGGGCTCGCCCCGCCCAGCACAAAGGCTCCGATCATAAAGTGGTTAGACGCATTAATTTATTTAAGTTGCAGAGAAAATATGTGAATGCGCTTGCGTAACAGGGTGGAGCACCTCGTCTCAAAAGGATCTTGAGGACCTCCCACCCCAAAAAGGACCAGGGGGAGGAGGGAAGGTGGGACCACCCTCGGATGCACAAGGCTGTGCCAGGCTGACCCCTAGCGGCAGGGTGGGCGCCCGAACGCTGCCCGGATCCAAGATGGCGGGGCTGGAGGCAAGAGTGGGAGTGGGGAGGAGATTACGTTACCGAGGTGGAGCCTGGGCTTGGGGGCGGGGCGGGGCCTGCGCCTAGGGGGCGGGGCGGGGCGGCGCTCTAGGCCGAGCGGGAGGTCGGGGCTGCGGGCGCTCGCTGGTGGCGGACCCGGAGGCGGCCGCGGCGCTGGGGCTCCGTGGCTTGGATTGAATCCTATCAGGAGCCATGAGCGTGGACAAGGCCGAGCTATGCGGGTCTCTGCTCACCTGGGTAGGTCGTGGGGCGGGGCTAGGGGAAGGTAAGCGCCCACTCCTCTTGCCCGGGATCCCTGGTCCTGGTGCGGTCAGTCCCTTGGTGCTGGGGCGGGGAGGTGCAGGGGTCGTCGGCTTGCTGGACCGTTGGACTCTGGCCCGAGCACCCGCCCCTGTCACGTGGCAAGTCTGAGTAGAAAGGACAGGTGAGGCCCCGCCCCTCTGTGGCTGGTTCACGTGGGGCGAGGGCGCAGGTGAATTGGCCTGGTCACGTGGTGCCTGTGGGGCCCAGGTGACTCGTGATACCGCCCTGGCCTGGACGCGCAGGGTTTGTTGGACAGAGGTGAAGTGAGGCCACGCCCCCTCTGGGCTCAGGTGAGCAGAAGTCACTCCCTTGCAGAGCTGCTGTGGCGGAGCAGCGCCCGCCCCACCATATGAGGTTCGCTGACTGGCAAAGTCTGCAAAAGGGGAGTGGTCCCGCTCTCCCAGGCCCTAACTCTCTCCATTGTCTTTTCCTTGACCCCTCAGTTACAGACGTTCCATGTTCCGTCTTCCTGTGCCAGCCCTCAGGACCTGAGCAGCGGCCTTGCCATAGCCTATGTGCTGAACCAGATGTGAGTGGAGCTGAGGGGGAGGATCCCAAAAGTGTTCCCCAGTCTTCTCATCCCACCTTCTCGCCCCCAGAGACCCCTCCTGGTTCAACGAGGCATGGCTCCAGGGCATCTCAGAAGATCCAGGTCCCAATTGGAAGCTGAAGGTGACAATTGGACTCTTGATTAGAGGACAGACTGGTGAAGAGATGACCAGGGACGGACCAGCTAGGCACATGTCCTGGGTGATGGGCAGGAAGAGGGACAGATGTCTGATGATCAACCATTTGTTCATCCATTCATCTATTGAGTACTCACCCTGTGCCAGGCCTGGGCATTCAGCAAGGAATAACACAGACAAAAACCTGCCCCACACAGCCATCATTCTAGTGACAAGCAACACATAAAACACAACCATAAAAATTAACTTCCAGGCTGGGCGCAGTGGCTCATGCCTATAATCCCAACACTTTGAGAGGCTAAAGTGGGTGGATCACTTGGGGCCAAGAGTTTGAGACCAGCCTGGCCAGCACGGTGAAACCCTGTCTCTACTAAAAATACAAAAGTTAGCTGGCTGTGGTGGTGCGCACCTGTTATCCCAGTTACTTGGGAGGCTGAGACATGAGAATCATTTGAACCTGGGAGGTAGAGGTTGCAGTGAGCCGAGATCGAGCCATTGCACTCCAGCCTGGGCAACAGAGCGAGACTCTGTCTCAAGAAGAAATACAAAAGAAAGAAAAAGAAAGAAAAAACTTTTGATGCCAATAGTTCTATGAAGACAAGAAAAAAGCAGGGCTTTGAGAAAGAGCAATGAGGGCATGGGTGGGTGATTACATCAGATGGGTTAATCTCCAAGTGAGATTTGGGGGAACGGTGTTCCAGGCACAGCGAATAGCAGATGCAAAGGCCCTGAGTTGGGGATAAACTTGGTGTGATGGAGGAATGGCAAAGAGGGCAGAACAGAGCAAGAGGGCAAGATTTGTAGGAGATGAGGTCATCAGGGGCCTGGCAGGCCATGGTGAGGGTGTGAATTCTATTTTTAAGTGCTGTGGAAAGTCAAGGCAGGGTTTTAGCAGAGCAAAGATGCAACCTGGCTTAGGCTTTATAAAGCTCCCCCTGGCTGCATGGAAAGAAATAAAATGTAGGCAGCAAAAGTGGAAGAGGAGAGGCAGCTGGTGCATTAATCCAGGTGAGAGGTGAGGATGGATGGGGAGGCTAAAGGATGGTGGGGCAGGTGGTGAGAAGTGACTGGGTTCTGGAGACATGAAGAAAGACGGTCAGGCAGGCCGGGCACTGTGGCTCATGTCTGTATTCCCAGCACTTTTGGAGGCTGAGATGGGAGGATTGCTTGAGCTCAGGAGCTTGAGAGCAGCCTGGGCTACATAGCAAAACCTCCTCTCTACAAATAAAAAGTAGTCAGGTGTGGTGGCATATGCCTGTAGTCCCAGCTACTAGGGAGGCAGAGATAGGAGGATTGCTTGACCCCAGGAGGTCGAGGCTGCAGTGAGCCAAGATTGCACTACTACACTCCAGCCTGGGTGACAGCGAGACCGTGTCTCAAAAAACTAAAGCAAAAAATAAATAAAAACGAAACAAAGATGGTCAGGTAGACAAAAGGGGCAGACAGCCAAAGAGGTCACCCCTAGAGGAAGGCACATGCAGACAGAATAGGACGAGATGAGCAGGAAAGGAGAAGTGAGGTGGAGAAAGGATGGGATGTACAGATTTAGAGTCGGGGACCTCTGAACTTGTCCACAGCTCCTTGTTTCTCCCTAGGTCAGCAATCTGAAGATGGTCTTACGGAGCCTGGTAGAGTACTCCCAGGATGTGAGTAACTGTAAAGGGATTCAGGCGGTTGAGTTGGGAGAAGGGTGGACCCATGAGCCCCTGACACCCCCTTCTCCCCAGGTCCTGGCGCATCCTGTGTCAGAAGAGCACCTCCCAGATGTGAGCCTCATTGGAGAGTTCTCAGACCCAGCAGAGCTCGGCAAGCTGCTTCAGCTGGTGCTGGGCTGTGCCATCAGTTGCGAGAAAAAGCAGGGTATGGGGAGCTTAGGAGGTCCCCAGGGGCTGGCCTGAGGAAATCCTCCTTCCTCCCCACCTCACCCCTGGGTCTCAGCCTCCCCCACCTTGATCCCCAGAGCACATCCAGAGAATCATGACGCTGGAAGAATCGGTTCAGCATGTGGTGATGGAAGCCATCCAGGAGGTGGGTGGGGGCCCTCAGGGTGCAATTGAAAAATGTCAGCAGAGGGGACATCGCTAGGGCAGAGGCAACTGGGCACAGGCCCTGCCCTGGTAAGCTCTGGACTCTGCCTGGAACTCAGCTGGCCAGACATCTCTGTCTCATGTGTCTGCCAGCTCCTCCCAGCTCTAAGTCGCAATATAGCAGGCTCAAGGGATCTGGCTTCCCTCTGTGCTGGAGGCAGGAGGGCAACCTCTGGGCTGGGGTTATTGGGCAGAACTGGCCTTGACGACGGGAAGATGGCGAGGTTCTCAGTTGGGATAGTAGATGCTTTGAAGGCTGCCCTCAGATATCCAGTTCATTACAATGCCCCTTCCCACTCCCCAGCTCATGACCAAAGACACTCCTGACTCCCTGTCACCAGAGACATATGGCAACTTTGATAGCCAGGTAAGAGATTTGGGGGAAAGGTGTTCTAGGCACAGGGATCAGCAAATCCAAAGGCCCGGGGTTGGGAATAAGTTTGCTGTGATTAACCTTGGGACTGAACCTTGTTAAAGTTCCAGACCCCATTACAGATGCTCAGGGCTCCCTAAGGGGGAGGGGCTTGTCCTTAAGCCTGTAAGCCACGCCCATCTCCCAGGGTGCTAGTCACTTCCTGTGCCAGGTCTCCAGTGTTCTGGAGTCGCTCTTCCTTCAGTCTTCAACCCCAGCCCTGTTTTCTTTTCTTTTTCTTTTTCTTTTTTTTTGAGATGGAGTCTCACTCTGTCACCCAGGCTGGAGTGCAGTGGCGCAATCTCGGCTCACTGCAACCCCCGCCTCCTGGGTTCAAGCGATTCTCCTGCCTCAGCCTCCTGAGCAGCCAGCACTACTGGTGCGCACCACCACACCCGGCTAATTTTTGTATATTTAGTAGAGACGGGGTTCACCACGTTGGCCAGGCTGGTCTGGAACTCCTGATCTCAGGTGACCCACCCGCCTCAGCCTCCCAAAGTGCTGGGATTACAGGCGTGAGCCACCGCACCCGGCACCAGCCCTCTTTTCAATCCTGAGGGTTTCTTGTTCCCCTCCACTGGCCTCTAGAGATCTCAGCCTCCCTCCCCTCGTCCTTCTCCTGAATTCCTGAGTTCCTCTTCCCCCTCATCTCCGCAGTCCCGCAGGTACTATTTCCTAAGTGAGGAGGCTGAGGAGGGGGATGAGTTACAGCAGCGCTGTCTGGACCTGGAGCGGCAGGTAGGGCCCGAGGTGGGGCAGGGACATTTGAATAGCCCCTCTCCAAGCCCCAGCTCATCTTCCTACCCTGCCCGCAGCTGATGCTCCTGTCAGAGGAGAAGCAGAGCCTGGCACAAGAGAATGCAGTGCTGCGGGAGCGGGTGGGCCGGCCTGAAGGCGAGGGTACCCCAGGTCTCACTGCCAAGAAGCTGCTGCTGCTGCAATCCCAGCTGGAGCAGTTGCAGGAGGAGAACTTCAGGTGCGGTCATCTGGGGACTGGGCCAGGCAAGCCAGGGGACGGGGGGAGGGCAGCTCCCTCATGTGCCCTTTCCTCACCACCACCCCCAGGTTGGAGAGTGGCAGAGAGGATGAGCGCCTGCGCTGTGCCGAGCTGGAGCGGGAGGTTGCGGAGTTGCAGCACCGGAACCAGGCGCTGACCAGCCTGGCCCAGGAGGCACAGGCCCTGAAGGATGAGATGGATGAGCTGCGGTGAGTGGTGGGTTCCTGGGTCCCCATCACAGGGGGCTGGGGGTAAACTTGTTGCCAGAGTTCCCCTCTGATGCCATGCAACTCTGTAATTTCTTTTTTTTTTTGAGACGGAGTCTCGCTCTGTCGCCCAGGCTGGAGTGCAGTGGCCGGATCTCAGCTCACTGCAAGCTCCGCCTCCCGGGTTCCCGCCATTCTCCTGCCTCAGCCTCCCGAGTAGCTGGGACTACAGGCGCCGCCACCTCGCCCGGCTAGTTTTTTGTATTTTTTAGTAGAGACGGGGTTTCACCGTGTTCGCCAGGATGGTCTCGATCTCCTGACCTCGTGATCCGCCCGTCTTGGCCTCCCAAAGTGCTGGGATTACAGGCTTGAGCCACCGCGCCCGGCCTGTAATTTCTATATGCCCAGTGAACCCCCAATATGCCCCCTGGACTCCACGGTGCCACCCTGAGCCCTACAGAACGCCCAAGGCCACATTGCGCTATCCTGAACTCCACCATAACCCCTGGACCCCACACTGCCCCCTCTTATTCCACAGTATGCTTCCAAGACCCCATAGCATCCCTTTGGCCCCACAAAACACAAGAACCTCCCCCACAATGGTCTGCAGATCCCACTGCACATTTTGGACTTCATAATGCTCCTGGATCCCATGGTACCTTCTAGGACTTTGCAACCCCTTTTGACTCTACTGTGCCTTCTGTAACCACAAAGGGCTCCACTGGGCCCCTATAGCACCTCTGTAATGCAAAAGTACTAGTGCACCCCCCACATTGCACTTCTTTTTTTTTTATTTTATTTTTTATTTTTTGAGACGGAGTCTCGCTGTGTCGCCCAGGCTGGAGTGCAGTGGTGCGATCTCGGCTCACTGCAAGCTCCACCTTCCGGGTTCACGCCATTCTCCTGCCTCAGCCTCCGGAGTAGCTAGGACCACAGGCACACACCACCATGCCTGGCTTTTTTGTATTTTTAGTAGAGACGGGGTTTCGCCCTGTTAGCCAGGATGGTCTCGATCTCCTGACCTTGTGATCCGCCCGCCTCGGTCTCCCAGAGTGCTGGGATTACAGGCGTGAGACACCGCGCCCGGCCCCCATTGCACTTCTAAGGACCCCACAGTGCTCTTGTCCCATAGCTCCCCCAATGACCCCAAGGTGTCCTTGGCAGATGCTCAGACCTCTCTAGGCCCCCCATCACTCCCCCTATAACCCCACAACCCTCTGTGTCCCCACAATTCCACCCCAGAGGATCCCTGATTATAACCCTGGGCTAACTATTGCTGTAATGACTCTCAACAGCACCAGGCCCGGGTTGACCCTTGACCCTCGACTTTCATGACCCCTTCACCTTGAACCCAAAAGCCTCAGGCTGAACAACACCCTCCTCTGCTCCAAGGGCCACTCCGCATCCCAGCTGAACCCTGATCAGAGCTCTCAGCCCTCCCCCCTCCCTCTCCACTCCCCTAGGCAGTCCTCGGAGCGTGCTGGGCAGCTGGAGGCCACGCTGAACAGTTGCCAGCGCCGCTTGGGAGAGCTGAGGGAGCTGCGGCGGCAGGTGCGGCAGCTGGAGGAACGCAATGCTGGCCACGCCGAGCGCACGCGGCAGCTGGAGGATGAGCTGCGCCGAGCTGGCTCCCTGCGCGCCCAGCTGGAGGCGCAGCGGCGGCAGGTGCGGCGGGGTCGGGGTTAGGGCCGGGGCCCCGCCCCTGGCAGCGTGTCCCTTACTGTTGGCCCACCCTCCCTTGAGTCCCTGCCTTACTTGCACTTAGGCCACGCCTTCCAGGCCTCTTCCCTCCACCCAGGCTGTTCCTCTGTCTGGGTTAGTAAGCCCAGCCCTTCCCTTAAGTACCGCTCCTCTAAAATCTTTGATGCCCGCCCCTTCACCTTGCTGCTTGATTTACTTGGGGCTACCTACCCATGTAACAAAACTCGTGGTAAATTGAAAATATCCTAAAATGCGTTTAAAGGCCAGGCCTAGTATCCCAGCGCTTTCGGAGACTGAACCGGATCACTTGAGGCTGGGATTTTGAGGTTGTAGTGAGCTGTGGCTGCATCACTGCATTCCAGCCTGAGTGACAAGGCGAGATCCTGCCTCAAACAAAAGAAAAAGACTGGGTGCGGTGACTCGTGCCTGTAATCCCAGTGCTTTGGGAGGCCAAGGCGGGCACCCCATAACGCCTTTTGTAACCCCACATCACTTGAGGCAGGAGTTTGAGACCATCCTGGCCAACATAGCGAAACCCTAAAATACTAAAAATACAAAAATTAGCCGGGCATGGTGGCGTGCACCTGTAATTCCAGCTACCCAGGAAGCTGAGGTACCAGAATCGCTTGAACCTGGGAGGTGAAGTTGCAGTAGGCCAAGATCGCATCACTGCACTCCAGCCTGGTTGAGAGAGGGAGACTCTGTCTCAAAAGAAAAAAAGAAAAATATATTTAAAAAGAAAAAAAAAAGAAAAAGAGGGCTGGGCGTGGTGACTCATGCCTATAATCCCAGCACTTTGGGAGGCTGAGATAGGAGATTGCTTGAGGCCAGCATTTCGAGAACAGTCTGGTCAACATAGTGAGATCCCATCTGTTTTTATTTTACTTTTTTTTTTTTTTTTTTTTTTTTTTTTTGAGACGGAGTCTCGCTCTGTCGCCCAGGCTGGAGTGCAGTGGCCTGATCTCAGCTCACTGCAAGCTCCGCCTCCCGGGTTCACGCCATTCTCCTGCCTCAGCCTCCCGAGTAGCTGGGACTACAGGCGCTGCCACCTCGACCGGCTATTTTTTGTATTTCTTAGTAGAGATGGGGTTTCACCGTGTTCGCCAGGATGGTCTCGATCTCCTGACCTCGTGATCCGCCCATCTCGGCCTCCCAAAGTGCTGGGATTACAGGCTTGAGCCACCGCGCCCGGCCCCATCTGTTTTTAAAAAATAATTTTTAAAAATTTTTTTAAGAAATAAGAAAGAAAATCCATTGAACATACCTTACCTATCGAACATCACAGCTTAGTCTAGCCTACCTTAATCATGCTTTCCTTAGCCTAGTTTGGCAAAATCATCTACCATAAAGCCTATTTTATAATAAAGCATTGACTATATCATGCAATTTATTGAAGACTACTTCACTGAAATTGAAAAACAGAATGGTTATATGGCTTCTTACTATTAACATTCACAGTTGGCTGGGTGCAATGGCTCACACCTGTAATCCCAGTGCTTTGGGAGGCTGAAGTGGGAGGATCGCTTGAGGCCAGGAGTTTGAGACCAGCCAGGGCAACAGAGCGAGACCCTGTCTCTTAAAAAGCCAAGCAAAAAACATACACAGCTGAAAGCACCATAGTAAAGTCAAAAAAATCATAAGTCAAACCATCCTGGATTGGGAACCATCTGTACTCAGCCCCTGCCCCTGCGTCCACCCCTGCAGTCCTTATTCTTCCTCTCTCTGTGTTCAGGTGCAGGAACTGCAGGGCCAGCGGCAGGAGGAGGCCATGAAGGCCGAGAAATGGCTATTTGAATACCGCAACCTGGAGGAAAAGTATGAGTCGGTGACAAAGGAGAAGGAGGTGAGGCTGAGGTCCCACTGCCCAAGCCCCACCCTGCCAATTCTGGGGTAGCCTATTTCCCAGGGAGCCGAGCCTGACCCATGTGGTATCTTGTACCCTGTCCCTGCAGCGGCTGTTGGCGGAGCGGGACTCCTTGCGGGAGGCCAATGAGGAGCTGCGCTGCGCCCAGCTGCAGCCGCGGGGATTGACCCAGGCCGGTGAGATGGAGCCCCATGCTGGGGCCTTACCTGTCCTGGTGTAGGTTGTGTCCCAGTGCATGTCTAGGCTGGGGAGAGAGCTAGGCCAGGCTGGAGGTGACCAGAAAGATGTGACATGGTCATATTGAAGAGAGAGGCTCAGGGTCTCAGGGTGGAGCAAAGGCTAAAAAGCCAGGCCAACCCTCCTGGTTCTCTATCAAGCTGGCGATGGAGCTTGTGTCAAGCCAGGCTGTTGGCTGAACTTGAGCCCCAAAAGATGATCTTTGGGAAGAAGACCCTAGGGGTGGGGACAGGGAATGCGAAGAGACCTGAAGACTTTTCTTGCATTCTTCAGAGCCCTCATTGGATCCCACCTCCCCACCCATGGATAACTTAGCCGCGGAGATCCTGCCTGCGGAGCTCAGGTATCCTGGGGTCACTCAAAACTCTGGCTCCACCCAGGCCTGCCAAGGCCCGCCCTCAGCCCCACCCCCACCCTCCCACCTACTAGCACCGGTTGCTTGGTCTCAGCTCCGGGTCCTAGCCGGGCTCCTAGGCCCACTTACTGCTGATTTGGCTCCTTTCAGCCCTACCAGATGACTTTGCCTCTCCAGGGTCTATCCTTAGTACACACATTATGTCCAACACCTGGCTCCACTTCCCGCACAAAAATCCTATGCCCTAGCCCCGCCGACTTTGATCCTTTCCCCCAGGGTCCACCCCTGTCAGTGTAGCCTCTGTGAGTTTCAGTCCCCTGTGCCCTGCTGGCATTAACTCTCCCAGGCCAGGCATGGTGGATCACACCTCTAAATCCCAGCACTTTGGAAGGCCGGAGCTGCAGGATCACTTGAGCCCAGGAGTTCGAGAGCAGCTTGGGCAACATAGTGGCCCTCTCTACAAAATAAAAATGATTTTAAAACCCCCAAAACGGCCGGGCGCAGTGGCTCACGCCTGTAATCCCAGCACTTTGGGAGGCCGAGGCGGGCGGATCACAAGGTCAGGAGATCGAGACTATCCTGGCTAACACGGTGAAACCTCGTTTCTACTAAAAATACAAAAAATTATAGCCGGGCGTGCTGGCGTGCGCCTGTAGTCCCAGCTACTCGGGAGGTTGAGGCAGGAGAATCCCTTGAACCTGGGAGGCGGAGGTTGCAGTGAGTCGAGATCGCGCCACTGTATTCCAGCCTAGGCGACAGAGCGAAACTCCATCTCAAACAAACAAAAAAACAAAACTAACCAAACAAAAAAAACCCAAAAAACTCTCCCATCCTAATTCTTCCCATTTCTGCTTCCGGCTTTCCAGCAGCCGCATCCCAGCTGTTCGAATCCACTCTTGTAGCTCCGCCCCTGCCTAGCTCCACCCCTTACCCCAGCTTAGGGCTCCGTCCACTTTAACCCTAGTTAGGTCCTCGGTGTTCCAACCCCATGGTCTGGCTGAGCTCTTCCCCAGGGCTCTGTCCCGCCCCTAGCTCCACCCGCCCTGAGCCCCAGCGAGCCTGCGGGGTGACCCGACCCTGGCCCTGCTTTCTCTTCCCGGGTCTGCAGGGAGACGCTCCTGCGGCTTCAGCTGGAGAACAAGCGGCTGTGCCGGCAGGAGGCGGCCGACCGCGAGCGGCAGGAGGAGCTGCAGCGCCACCTGGAGGAGGCGAATCGTGCACGCCACGGGTTGGAGACGCAGCACCGGTGAGCGCCTGGGGACCTACCTGCGCAGAGCAGGGACAGAGGGGGCCGAAAGTGGGCGAAGGCACTAAGCGGCCCCCCACCCTTGCAGGCTGAACCAGCAGCAGCTATCTGAGCTGTGGGCCCAGGTGGAGGACCTTCAGAAAGCCCTGCAGGAGCAGGGGGGCAAGACTGAAGACGTGAGTGTCACCCACCACCTCCCTGCCTGGCCCTCCCTCATGCCCCGAAGTAACCCTCCTCTCTCTCCCATGCTGCCCGATGCCCCATACAGGCCATTGTAAGTACCATGGGCCCAGGGTGGCACCCCCTACCCTCACCCTGGGAAGGAGGAATTAGGTCCTCTCTGGACCCCCACTCACCTTGCCTCTTCTCTCCCCCAGTCCGTCTTGCTAAAAAGAAAGCTGGAGGAACATTTGTAAGTCGCAGAAAGAGGGCACTCTTGGTGGGGGCATGGATTTGACATTAGTGGGGAGTTTCTTAGGCGTGTGCCACCATGCCTGGTTAATTTTTTATAATTTTAGTAGAGACGGGGTTTCACCATGTTGGCCAGGCTGGTCTTGGACTCCTGACCCCAGATGATTCACCCACTTTGGCCTCCCAAAGTACTGGGATTACAGGCATGAGCCACTGCGCCTGGCCTTCTTTCTTTTCTTTTACCTGTTTGCTATTGAAGAGATTTGTATTCTAGAAAGATCCCTGGTTGCTAGATGGAGTGGTTGAGAGTAGGAGAAGCTAGCAAGGGACGATGGTGGCTGGACCAACTTGGGAGCTTTGGGATGGGCGAAGTGGACAGCAGGGGGCTCTTCCACAGGATACCTGCTAAGGGTGCAAAGGGTTGTGACTGATGGCTGAGGAGATGGGGGGATCAGGGCACACAGCCCCCAGGCATGAGGGGCAGGCAGAGAGGGCTCTGTGGCCATGTAGGGGCATTTCTGGCTGGCGGGGAGGTCTGTGGCTACCACTGGGACGAAACAGAAGCCAGCTCGGAGGTCAGCCCACTGCTGCTCATCCCTGCCCACAGGCAGAAGCTTCATGAGGCAGATCTGGAGTTGCAGAGGAAGCGGGAGTACATTGAGGAGCTGGAGCCACCCACTGACAGCAGCAGTAAGTGGGACCTGGTGACCAGGGGGTGGGGAGATCCCAGAGCCCAGCGGCGTGAAGCTGATGGGCCACCTCTTCCACCAGCAGCCCGACGGATCGAGGAGTTGCAGCATAACCTGCAGAAGAAGGACGCGGACTTGCGGGCCATGGAGGAGCGATACCGCCGCTACGTGGACAAGGCCCGCATGGTGAGGACACTGGGTGTTCCCACAAGTTGCCTGCCCTGGCTCCCGCCTTTTTGTGCCTCCTATTGAGCCAAACCTCCTGCTTGCACATCTGTGCCCCAGTTCACACCTGTCATACCCCACCATGTGACAGACTTCTGCAATGATTCCCCACTGCTACTGATTGTCACATTAAAGTACTGCACAGCCGGCCGGGCGCCGTGGCTCACACCTGTAATTCCAACACTTTGGGAGGCCAAGGCAGGCAGAACACAAGGTCAGGAGTTCGAAACCAGCCTGGTCAACGTGGTGAAACCCCATCTTCACTAAAAATACAAAAATTAGCTGGGCATGGTGGTGGGCACCTGTAATCCCAGCTACTCAGGAGGCTGAGGCAGGAGAATCGTTTGAATCTGGGAGGTGGAGGTTGCAGTTAGCTAAGATTGTGCCATTGCACTCCAGCCTAGGCGACAGGGCGAGAGTCCGTCTGAAAAAACAAAAAGTACTGCACAGCCAGGCGCAGTGGCTCACGCCTGTAATCCCAGCACTTTGGGAGGCTGAGGCAGCTGATCCCTTGAGGTCAGGAGTTCGAGACCAGCCTGGCCAACATGGCAAAACCCCATCTCTACTAAAAATAGAAAAATTAGCCGGGAGTGGTAGCACGCACCTGTAATCCCAGCTACTTGGGAGGCTGAAGCAGGAGAATAACTTGAACCTGGGAGGTAAAGGTTGAAGTGAGCTGAGATTGTGCCACTTCACTCCATCCTGGGCAATAGAGCCAGACTCCATCACAAAAATAAAAATAAAGTACAACATGGATGGGCACAATGGCTCATGCCTATAATCTCAACACTTTGGGAGGCTAAGGCAGGAGAATTGCTTGATGCCAGGAGTTCAAGACCATCCTGGGCAACATTCTATAATGAATGAAAGGATGAATACACACACCCCAGTATGTCCCAGGGGGTTTCAAGGCCAAAGTCACCTGGCTGTGACTTCCTCAACCTGTAGGTCATGCAGACCATGGAACCCAAGCAGCGGCCGGCTGCAGGGGGACCTCCAGAACTCTGTTCCCTAAGGACACAGCTCCGAGAACGTGATGTCCGCATCCGGCACCTGGAGGTGGGTATCCTCATGCCTTTATGCGGCCTCCAGCGTATCTAGGCCCCTGACACTTGCCTTCTTGACAGATGGACTTTGAGAAAAGCCGAAGTCAGAGGGAGCAGGAAGAAAAGCTGCTCATCAGTGCCTGGTATAATATGGTAAGTGTGAGGTCTGGGCTCTAAGATCTCATGGGTAGAGTATTGGTGGAGGGGGTCCTGTGAGCTCACCTGACCCCAACCACACCTCCTTCTGAAGGGCATGGCCTTGCAGCAGCGAGCTGGGGAAGAGCGGGCGCCTGCCCATGCCCAGTCATTCCTGGCACAGCAGCGGCTGGCAACCAATGCTCGCCGTGGACCCCTGGGACGCCTGGCATCTCTGAACCTTCGCCCCACTGACAAGCACTGACTTCAGGATCCAGCCAGCCTGGGCTCCACCCACTCTGGCTTCCTCCAACTCACATGGCGCCCAGCATTGGGCTTCAGCCAGCTGCTCGAGAACTTTGAGGCCAAGATCTCTGCCCTTCCCTCTCCCAGATTGGTGGGGAGGGAGAGTGGGAGGTAGGTATAGGCCTGTTCTTTTTAGCAATGTGATTCTTATCGTTGATTCTCTCTCTGGAGTTCGTGTGCTGCCTGGGGAGACTCTGATTTTATATTTGAGAAAAATAAAGACTTTCAATCTGCCCTGGCTATGCTCTGGGCACCAAGGTGAGGGAGAGAAAATGGGCCAGAGGCTTAGCCCATTGCTTTTAAGAAAAGCTTAGCGGCCAGGTACGGTGGCTGATGCCTGTAATCCTAGCACTTTGGGAGGTTTAGATGGGTGGATCACCTGAGGTCAGGAGTTCGAGACCAGCCTGGCCAACATGGCAAAACCCCTCCTCTACTAAAAATAGAAAAATTAGCAGGGCATGGTAGTACATGCCTGTAATCCCAGCTACTCGGGAGGCTGAGGTGGGAGGATTGCTTGGATCCAGGAAACAGAGGTTGCAGTGAGCTGAGGTCATGCCATTGCACTCCAGCCTGGGCGACAGAGCAAGACTCCATCTCAAAAAGAAAAAAAAAAAAAGAAAGAAAAGCTTGGTTTGCATTCTTACTAAGTGTGAGTGACCAATAGCACCATCCAGAGGTAGGTGAGGATCACCTTTGTGTGTCTGTGAATGTGTAGTGATTTTGTTTTTTGGTGGTTGCTTTTTTTTTTTCTTTATTTTGAGATGGAATCTCACTCTATCGCCCAGGCTGGAGTGCAGTGGCACGATCTTGGGAACCTCTGCCTCCCGGGTTCAAGCGATTTTCTTGCCTCAGCCTCCTGAGGCAAGAATTAGCCTCACACGGGGCTAATTTTTGTATTTTTAGTAGAGGTGGGGTTTCACCATGTTGGTCAGAGTGTTCTTAAACTCCTGACCTCAGATGATCTGCCCATCTCGGCCTCCTAAAGTGCTGGGGTTACAGGAGTGAGCCACCGTGTCCGGCCACTAAGCTTTTCTTAAAAGCAATGGGGTAAACCCCTGGCCCACTTTCTCTCCCTCACCTTGGTGCCCAGAGTTACCAGAGTGAGCCACCACTGTGGAACGATCTCAGCTTGCTGCAGCCTGGGCAACAGAGTGAGACTCCATCTACCAAAAAAAAGAAAGAAAGAAAGAAGGAAAGCAAAAATGCCCAGAAAGGAGGCCTCACCAAGGAGGTGACATTACTGAAGCAGAGACTTGAAGGAGGTGAGGGAGAGGCCGTGAAGGTATCTGGGGAAGATCCAGGCAGAACAGTTTCCACAAAGACCCTGAGATGACACCTCACTTGGTGTGCTGGAGGGACAGTAAGGGGACCAGAGTGGCCGGAGTGGAGTGAATAAGAAAGCAGAAGGCTGGACGCGGTGGGTGGGTGGATCATGAGGTCAGGAGATCGAGACCATCCTGGCTAACACGGTGAAACCCTGTCTCTAAAAAATACAAAAAATTAGCCGGGCGTGGTGGTGTGTGCCTGTAGTCCAGCTACTCGGGAGGCTGAGGCAGGAGAATGGCGGGAACCCAGGAGGTGGAGCTTGCAGTGAGCGGAGATCGCGCCACTGCACTCCAACCTGGGCGACAAAGCGAGACTCCGTCTTAAACAAAAAAAGAAAGCAGAAGGCCGGGAGCGATGGCTCCCACCCAACACTTTGGGAGGCTGAGGCAGGCAGATCATGAGGTCAGCAGATCGAGACCATCCTGGCTAAAACGGTGAAACCCTGTCACTACTAAAAATACAAAAAATGCGGCCGGGCGCGGTGGCTCACGCCTGTAATCCCAGCACTTTGGGAAGCTGAGACGGGAGGATCACCTGAGGTCAGAAGTTTGAGACCAGCCTTACCAACATGGAGAAACCCCGTCTCTACTAAAAAAAAACACAGAAAATTAGCCGGATGTGGTGGCACACACCTGTAATCCCAGCTACTCAGGAGGCTGAGGCATGAGAATCGCTTGAACCCAGCAGGCGGATGTTGTGGTGAGCCGAGATCACACCATTGCACTCCAGCCTGGGCAACAAGAGCAAAACTACGTCTCAAAAAATAATAATAATAAATAAAAATACAAAAAAATTAGCCGAGCATGGTGGCAGGTGCCTGTGGTCTCAGCCACTTGGGAGGCTGAGGCAGGAGAATGGCGTGAACCCGCGAGGCGGAGCTTGCTTGCCACGGTGAGGCAAGATGGCGCCACTGGCACTCCAGCCTGGGAGACAAAGCAAGACTCCGTCTCAAAAAAATATAAAAGTAAAAATGAAAGAAAGCAGATGAGGGTGGGGAGATTATTCAGGGACTTGTGGGCTGCAGAGAATACTTTAACTTTTATTCTAAGTGAGGTGGGAGCCATGGAAGAGTCTAAGCAGAGGGGATGTGACCTGGCCCTGGTGTTCATAGGCGCCCTCTGGTGGCCACTCTGGGAGAAACAGGCTTAGGAGGCCAGGGCCAGAGCTGGAAGACCAGGTTGGTAGTCCCGGTGGGTGGGTGATAGTGAGGCTCTGGCCAGGCTGGGGGCCCTGGAGGAGTGAGAAATGGTTGGATTCTAGATACGATTTACAGGCAAAGCTAGCAGGGCACGGTGACTCACGCCTGTGATCCCAGCACTTTGGCTGGCCAACATGTTGAAACCCTGTCTCTAAAAATACAAAAATTAGTTGGGTGTACTGGGCGCCTGTAATTCAAGCTACTTGGGAGGCTGAGGCAGGAGAATCACTTGAACCCGGGAGGTGAAGGTTTCAGTGAGCAAAAATCGTGCCATTGCAATACAGCCTGGTGACAAGAGCGAAATTATGTCTCAAAAATAAAAAATAGAAATAAAAATAAAGGCAAAGCTGGTAAGATTTGCTGCTGGGTTGGTGTGGCCGCTGGGTTGATGTGATGGCCTGTGGTGGGAAGAGGAATCCACATGACTTCTTTTGGCCTCAGTACCTGGAAGGACAAAGCTAACACACAGGGTGGGGCAGATTGGGGGGCTGATTAGGAGCTGGATTTCAGGTGTGTTATGTTTGAAGCGTCTGTGAGATCTCTGCAAGGAGACATCTAAGAGGCAGTTAGAGAAGGGATCCTGGCTGAATTTCTGTTTTCTTTCTTCCTTCTTCTTTTTCTTTCCTTTTCTTTCTTTTCTATTTTAGATGGGGTTTCACTCTGTAGCCGCCCAGGCTTGAGCGCAGTGGCACAATCTCACTGCAACCTCTGTCTCTCAGGTTCAAGCGATTCTCCTGCCTCAGCCTCTGAGTAGCTGAGATTACTGGTGCCCACCACCTCGCTTGGCTAATTTTTGTTTTTAGTAGAGACGGGCTTTTACCATGTTGGCCAGGCCTGTCTTGAGCTCCTGACCTCAAATGATCCACCTACCTCTGCCTCCCAGCTGGGATTACAGGCATGAGTCCCGCCATGTCAGGCCTTTTTTTTTTTTTTTTTTTGAGACAGGGTCTCACTGTGTTGCCCAGGCTGGAGTGCAGTGGCGTGATCATAGCTCACGGCCTTGGCTGGACTTTTATATTCAGGACTCATCAGGAGTCCGTGTGATTAAATTAGTAAAACCTGAAGCCCAGAGGGCCTGAGAATGCTGTGGCTTGAGGGAAGAAGAACCCATGATCCTGGGACAGTGGCTGCCTCATTAATGAGTAATGCCAGGGCACTGATGTGGGTATTTCAGAGAGCAGAGTTTGGGAAGAAGTAAGCAGGGCACCATCATAAAACCTGGAAGAGGTGAGACCCTGTCTCTGCTAAAAATACAAAAAATTAGCCAGGTGTGGTGGTGTGCACCTGTAATCCCAGTTACTCGGGAGGCTGAGGCACGAGACTCCCTTGAACCAGGGAGGTGGAGGTTGCACTGACCCAAGATCATGCCACTGCACTCCAGCCTGGGTAATGAAGTGAGACTCTGTCTCAAAGAAAAAAACAACCAAACCTGGAATAAGCTGGGCATGGTGGTTGTGGTGGAGGAAGAGGAGAAGGAGAAGGAAGAAGAAGAAATCTGTGGCCAGGCTTGATGGCTCACACCTGTAATCCCAGCACTTTGGGAGGCAGAAGCAGGTGGATCACCTGACGTCAAGAGTTCAAGACCAGCCTGGCCAACATGGTGAAACCCCCTCTCTACTAAAAATACAAAAAAATAGCTGGGCGTGGTGGTGCGTGCCTGTAATCCCAGATACTTGGGAGGCCGAGGCAGGAGAATTGCTTGGGCCCTGGAGGCAGAGGTTGCAGTGAGCAGAGATCACACCATTGCACTCCAGGCTGGGTGACAGAGGGAGACTCCATCTCAAAAATAAATAAATAAATAAATAAATAAGAAAGAAACCTGCAAGAACTCCCACATTTTACTTAGGACAATGGATAATGCCTGGCAGGAGAAATCAGACTAGCAACATTTGAATAAAAACAACTAGCAATTTATTGAGCACCTACTGTATACCAAATGCTTTAATGCCATTCTTTCATCCTCATGACAACTCGATGAGATAGTCAGTCACATCTTCACTTGAAGGAAAGAATTCAGGCAGGACATTGATGAAGACCTCTCAGGCAGTGGGGGTTGGGAAGTAGAGATGGTGGTACGGTCGGGCTGGTCCAAGAGTCTGGAAGAACTCTCACCCCTAGCACAGCGCCAAACCCAGGCAGGCAGCGAGAGCTGGTCAAAAGTGTAGGTGGACTTTACAAAGGCACACGAGGCTTATGCAGACCGGGACACCTGCCTGTGTGCCGTGCAGGGACCTGGTTCCCTGTCCTTAGGCGGCTGGGCTCTAAGATCTTAGGCCAGATTCTCCTCCTCCTCTCCAATAGGGCTGGGCAGCCAGGGTGGCGCCGGACCCCGGGATCCAGGCATGGTCACGATGCTGAAGGGCTCGACAGGCCCAGGGATGAGGGCAACCGGTTCAGAACCCGCAGGGGGCGGAGGCTCAGGCTCCGGCAGGCCAGGATCGAGCAGCGGGTCCCCGCAGCTGCACTCCGGGGCCGCGCCTTCGGGGACAACCGCGCATGAGCAGCTGGCCCCGGTAGACGCCTCCGACACCCAGCTGTTCTTGCGGAGTAGAAAGGACAGGCGCCGGCCCAGGGGGCCTCCCGCGGCCATGCCCGCGCCCACCGGCAGGAGGCGCTGCAGGAAGTCGCCGGGCGCCTCTCCCATCGGCCCATCCAAGCCGTCCAGCCGCTGGAACTGCATGTCTTCTTTGGCCAGCCTGCGGGACCAACA